ATAAATGGAGAGATATATAGTGTTCACGGATTGGAAGATGCTGTATGTTTAAGATGCCAGTTCTTATGAACCAGTCTACAGAGTTAGTATAATCTTAAATTATCATTAGGGGGCTCACATTGTAGTGCAGCAGAATAAAGCACGAGCCTGCAGTGTCAGCATCCCATATGGGTGCCAGTTCGAGTCATATCGGCTGCTCCTCTTTTGATCTAACTTTCTGGTATGGCCTGGGAAAGCAGTAGAAGATGGCTCAACTCCTTGGGACTCTGCACCCATATTGGAGACCTGGGAGAAGCTCCTGGCTCCTGGCTTTTGATCAGCTCAGCTGTGGCTGGTGCAGCCATTTGGGGAGTGAACCAGCAGATTAAAGAACTCTCTCTTTCTCTCTGGCTCTACCTCTCCTTCTAACTCTGTCTTTCTCTCTTTTTTATTTTTATTTTTTTAAATTTTATTTAGTAAATGTAATTTTCCAAAGTACAGTTTATGGATTACAATGGCTTTTCCCCCCATAACTTCCCTCCCACCCGCACCCTTCCCATCTCCCACTCCCTCTCCCATTCCATTCACATCAAGATTCATTTTCAATTATCTTTATATACAGAAGATCAACTTAGTATATATTAAGTAAAGATTTCATCAATTTGCACCCACACAGAACATAAAGTGTAAAATACTGTTTGAATACTAGTTATAGCATTAATTCACATTGGACAACACATTAAGGACAGAGATCCCACATGAGGAGTAAGTACACAGTGACTCCTGTTGTTGACTTAACAATTTGACACTGTTGTTTATGGCATCAGTACTCTCCCTAGGCTCTAGTCATGAGTTTCCAAGGCTATGGAAGCCTCTTGAGTTTGCTGACTTCGATCTTATTTACACAAGGTCATGGTCAAAGTGGAAGTTCTCTCCTCCTTTCAGAGAAAGGTACCTCCTCCTCTGATGGCCCATTCTTTATACTGGGATCTCACTCACAGAGATCTTTCATTTAGGTCCTCTTTTTTTTTGCCAGAGTGTCTTGGCTTTGCATGCCTAAAATACTCTCACGGGCTCTTCAGCCATATCTGAATGCCTTACGGGCTTATTCTGAGGCCAGAGTGCTGTTTAGGACATCTGCCGTTCTATGAGTCTGCTGTGTATCCCACTTCCCATGTTGGATCGTTCTCTCCCTTTTTTATTCTATCATTTAGTATTAGCAGACACTGTTCTTGTTTGTGTGATCCCTTTGACTCTTAGACCTATCAGTGTGATCAATTGTGAAATGAAATTGATCACTTGGACTATTTGAGATGGCACTGGTACATGCAATCTTGATGGGATTGTATTGGAATCCCCTGGCACATTTCTAACTCTGTCTTTCAAGTAAATAAAATAAATCTTATAAAAATCATTAGAATTTTCTGTAGCTATCAATGAATTAGCCTGAAAATTGTATGAATAGGGATAAAGCTCAGTATAGCCAAAATAAATTTGGATAAGAATAATAAAGTTAGAAGATATACATCACTTGATTTTAAGACTTAGTATGAATCTTAAGTATAGTAAAACCTAACTATAATGATCAAGAATTGGTAGTATTGGAGAAAGGGTATGTTGATAGTTAAATGGAACAGGATAGAAGGCCCAGAAATAGGCAAGTAGAAGTATATCCAACTTATCTGAGATAATGAGAAATTCAGTAGGGGGAGAATAGCTTTTTCAGCAGATTGTGCTGGAACAATAAACATGCAAAAGGAGAACCTCAATTATAATTCACACCTTATGTAAAAATTCATTCAAAAGTGATTATAAACCTAAATGTAAAGTATAAAACTATGAATTTTTGAATAAAGCATAAAACTCTTTGTGACCTGACTTTGGCAAAGAATATTAAGTTAAAAACACCAAAACCACACTCCTTAAATCAAAAACTGATGGAATAAGACATCAATATAAGACCTTGCTCTTTAAAAGTAATTTGTTGTAGGGATGGAAAACAAATCATGATCTGGAAGAAAATATCTTCAAATCATAGAGTTGATGAGGCACTCTCAAAACTCAATAATAAAAAAGCAAACAGCCTAGTAAAATATGGGCATTTTACTAAAAAAGATATAAGGGGCAGAAAAAAAAACACATAATAAGATTCTAACACCATTAGTCAAATTAAAACCACAGTGAGATAGCATTGCCTGCTTCTTAGTATGGTTAAGGCAACCATTTTTAATAAGATGTATAAAGAGAGACAGAGAGAGAGAGAGAGAGAGAGAAACCAAAAGCCTTCCACATAAAGAGTAATGTCTTTTTCTTTCTCTGTCTGGCTTATTTCACTTAGCAAAATAATCTCAAATTACACCATTTTGTTGCAAATATAAGAATTTCATTTTCTATGCCTGAGAAATATACCATTATGTATATACCATCAAGTATATTCCTCATTTTCTTTATTTGCCCATTCACTAAAGGGCATCTGGATTGATTCCGTGTATTTGCTATTGTTAATTGGGCTGCAATAAACATGAAAGTACAGATATCCCTACTTTCAAGGAAATAGTATATATGTTTATATATATTTGCATATTAAGTAAATATGAGGAAATGTTAAAAATTGCAGCAAGATTGATGCAACTGAGAACCATTATACTAAGTGAAATAAGCCAGTCTCAAAAAGACAGATACTATATGCTTTCCCTGATCTGAAGTAACTAATAGAGTAACTGAAATGTCATGTTTAGGAGTGAAAAGGATGTTTTGAGATTCAATGATTGTTTACAGAACTTTGTCTCTTCCATTGAGGAACAGTGTTTTTTTTTCTTTTTTTTTCCTACTATTTGTTGAAATTTTTTACTTAGCATAGGATTATCTATATGATCATTAGGCAAACTGAAAATAGATTGTTGTTAAAAATTAAGAGTGGGAATATGAGAAGGAGAAGGAGGATGGGTTTAAACGTGGAAAGGAAGGTAAGGGGGGGGAAATGTCACTATGTTTCTAAATCTGTATACATGAGTACATGAAACTTGTATAACTTGAATAGTTTGCAAAAATTTTCTCCCATTCTGTCAGTTGTCTCCTCACTTTGCTGAAATTCATATGGAGACACAGGAGACCTCGAATAGCTAAAGCAATCTTGTTGAGGATTTTTTTCAAATTTATTTGACAGGTAGAGTTATAGACAGTGAGAGAGAGAGAGACAGAGAGAAAGGTCTTCTTTCCATTGGTTCACTTCCCAAATGGCTGCTACAGCCAGCGCTGCGCCGATCTGAAGCCAGGAGCCAGGTGCCTCCTCCCAGACTCCCATGCGGGTGCAGCAGCCCAAGCACTTGGGCCATCTTCCACTGCCTTCCTGGGCCATAGCAGAGAGCTGGACTGGAAGAGGAGTAGCTGAGACTAGAACCAGTGCCCATGTGGGATGCCTGCACCGCAGGCAGAGGATTAACCAATTGAACCATGCTGCCGGCCCTGAGGATTTTTTTTTTAATATATGTTCACCAGGGTCTCAGCACACAAGGCTTCCACATCACTGGGTGCAGTGGTTTCTGTTTGCACTGCCAGCCTGCCCAGTCAACAAATAGTCAGATGTTCCCTGAGACAGCTCTGCCTAGACGTCTTGATCCAGGTAGGCTATATGTAGCTCACCATCCTACATGGTCACCCAGTTCCCTCTCCCAGTTAGCCTGAAAGTCAGTAGGTTCTGTGGATTGTTCCCTCACTAGAATCACTGGATCACACAGATACACAAGAGCCACTGGCCGAAAGTAGCTTTGCCAGTTCTGCCGGTACTACTGTGAAGGTGGTTTCCTGTCTCAGCCAGTTGCTGTGTGCTCACATGGTTTGCACAGTTGCTGCTCAGACACAAAATGGCACCTACCTTTTCTCTGCTGGGCAGTGGGGGCTGTTGTGGGGAAGTTGGTGCAAGAGGAATATGCCTTCTCTACTTCCACTAGGTTCGCAGGCAACTGCTAACAACTGCTCACATTCAGGGCTCCAGACCAGACTCATGCCACACTCTCTCTTGGCTTATATCACATGGGTAGCTGCAGTCTTCTCACTGCCATCTGCAAACTGTTGCCTGCTCTGGCTATTGATCAAGGCTGTTGTGTGTTGCACTTGTGTTCTTGCTGTACATCTGTACCCTCCACAGAGGTCCAGGGGTTCCTCCTTCTCTAGTAGGATTTCCAGTTTAGTTTTTCTGACCAATTCTCCCCTGAGAGTGCACTTCCTAATCCCCTTTCTTTCAGTGTTTATCCCTAGTCTAGTGCATCACATCTCTTCCTAATCCACCAAGTTGGAATCTCTCATGTTAAATATTTTTAAATAAAAATTTAAAAAGGCAAAAAAATAATGAAACAAAAAAGTAAAAAGAGACAAAATTGACAATATAAAGTGGTGGCAAGGATGCTGAAAAACTGGAGCTTTCATACATTGCAGTGGGAAAGCAAAATGGAAAAGCCACTATGGGTAATGCTTTGTCAGTTACTTAAAAAAGTTAAACATATAGTGTCCTGTGTGTTCCAGAGATCCCGCATTTAATCATTTATCCTAGAGAAATAAAAGCATATGTCAATACTAACACCTGACATGAATATTTATAGCAGCATGTTGTTGCTATGGATTTGGATAAAACTGGAAATAATCAACTTACACCCATTCTCCAGGAACTCAGACATACCTTCCTTTGGTGTCAGCCTCTTGCCCATTATGAAGAGTCATTTCTTTAAAGTGGAAGTCTCTCCTGAGTTGCAGGGTTATATTTAATGGGTAAGTTTAGCAATGCCCCAGAGGATAATTGGCTTCTTACCCTCCACCAGTCTGGTTCTCTTTATCCAAGACCTATACCTACCCATCAGTTCCACTGGACAAGCCAGACATAGGCTTGAAATGGAGGATTTTTATGGAACATTTCACTATATGTTAAGATATTATTTTATTTCATGTACTGCAAGCTATGTTTTTACCAGTATCTTAACAAAAAGAGTTGATGAACATTTAGCTGATTTTATTCTACATTTTTGCAGATACTTCAATAAATCTAGAAGTATTTTATGAGATCCTGCAACAAAAGCTGGGCATAAGTCAATTTGCAGTTGAGTATGTGCACCAAAATGCTGAAAATGGTATGACCATTTACTTTCCTCCTTTGTCTCCTCTCAATCCACACTGAATCCACTTATTAACAGAGATAGCTGAACCCTCTTCTCTTCCTTTCTGTCATTGTCCCTTGGTCATCTAACCCTCTGCCTTCCTCACAGTATTATTTCTTCTTCCTTCAGCCTCTACCCTAACTAAAGTCATGTGCTTCCAAGCAGCTATCCCCGAGGGAAGGTGTTAAAAGGGATGGATGATGGATAGTACTGGGTTTTTCTTCTCATCTGCTGAGTTGAAGAAGATTCCTTTGAGTCCTATCCTCACAATGAAATGCTCAAAAAATTCAACTAGTAGGATTGACAGCTTTTGCCATAACTCCAATACATTACTATACTCACAAAACTGAAGTGACTTCCTTACTTTTCTCTACTTTCCAAACCATTTTATTCTAGAGTGATAGGAGGCAGGGACCCAGAAAAGTGGAAGGTGATATACATCATGCCCAGGAGGTGGTAATATGAGTAATATCAGTACAAAGACGTCATGTCATATTATTAAACTTCAGAGAGATGCAGAGTTTTAAAATATTCTATTTTTTCAAATAACAGAGACATTAGCATTTCTTTCAGTCATTTTTGATTCAAATACCATTCAAGGGAACTCTAGACTCAAACAAAATGTTCATAATGTAAGTCAGGGTCTATTGCTCAAGCCAATTATTAAACCATTGCCATAATAGTCCAGAAGTTATTATTAGGCTACTATTCATTGTCCACAATTGCTATGAACTTGTAGTAACAGCATCTTAATTTTTGATTTTCTGTTTTCTCCTGAACTGTCAATCAATGTTCAGAGAAATTAATATAAATGAAAGCTCTAGAGCATGCTGGTGATCCATCAATATTAGTTCACTTCTTTCATGATATTAGAGTGTTTAATTTCTCTTTCTAGTTTGTTGTTTTCTGCTTCCAATTTTCCCCAGACTGGTAAAATATATAGTTTCCAATCAATTGCAATTTGTTCAAAAAACAAAAGCCAATGAGGAGAGATCAATAAATTTGACTGAATTGAAATTTAAAATATTCTATTATTCTAACATTCTGATAATCACAATAAAGTTGAAAATCAAAAATAAGACTCTGAAGAGTGTTGGCAGCCTATCTAACAAGGGATTATAAAAAATTTTGAAGGCGGAGCCAAGATGGTGGAATAGTGAGGGTGCACACCGATAGTCCGGGAAAAGATAGTTTAATAAGAGTGGAGTTACGGTAGCCTCAGGAAAAGGATCAGGAAAAATTTGCAGAGGAAACTCTTCCAGATCTAGTGGATGTGACATGGAGGACCTACAGGGAGAGCAAGGTCGCCCACGGCATGGAAGCCGAGCCATGGAAGCTGAGCCACAGAATCTGTGCACCAGTGCTGGAAGGGGAGGTGAGACAAAGACCTCGGTAACCTGAGACATTGGCGGGGAAAGGCAGAAAGAGCCTACAGAGAACGAGGCCTGAAACCCCACTGGGGAGTTCACCAGGCTGACTGGAGGAGAGAAAAAAAAATAAGGGGAACCCGCATGGACATTAGCCTCTCTCCCCACTCACTTTACAAAGCCGAGCAAGACAAAGGGCAGGCACCATTTTATGTATGTAAAGCTGTGCGCACCATTTTGCGTATGTAAAGCGGCGCCCCTCATTAGCCGAGCAGAAAAACCTGACTCTGGTGGGGAGAAATAACAGGAGGTTAACACCTAGTGAAATTGTGGAGCTTATGAACTGAGCCTGTGAAAATCTGAGGGGGGGGAGGCGAATGAACTCACCAAGTACACAAACTCGGTAACCTGGGCAACCCGGTGAGAGACTGCAGAGAAATTTGAGACCACACTGAGGGCTGTATAAACTCTTTGTGTGGTCTCAGCGGTAAGCAGATGAATACCCACAGGGGCTAGATTTCATACATCAACTACTCTCAATTCCACTCAGTTGTGTGGAATTACTTCCCAACTGAGTCAAAAAAAAAAAAAAAAAAAAGAGAGAGAGAGAGAGTGAGCCAGTGAGAGAGCAATCTGTGTGAGTCACATTTGGCACACCCTTAACCCTGAAGAACCAAACAAAGCTCTCTGGACATACCCATCACAGCCTCTAAGGATCCATCAAAAGCAGACAGTACACTTAATTTAGAGTCACAGTATAATGAGAAAAAACACCACACCAAAGAAACCAAAGAATATCTCCAATATGCCAAACAACAAACGCAAAAACCGAGGTAACAAGAACAAGGAAGACACTATGACGCCCCCAAATGAAATAGACACCCCAATTCAAGATTACGAAGATGATGAGATAGAAGAAATGCAAGAAGCAGATCTCAAAAAATTGATAAGAGCATTAAGAAGTTCTCAAAAACAAATTCTTGAACTACAGAAATCCTTAATGGACAAGATAGAAAATCTCTCTCGTGAAAATGAAATATTAAGGAGGAATCAAAATGAAACGAAACAACTAGTAGAACATGAAACTGTGATAGTGATGAGAAATCATAATGAAGTGAAGAATTCAATAGATCAAATGACAAACACATTAGAGAGCCTTACAAACAGAATGGGTGAGGCAGAAGAGAGAATATCGGACTTGGAAGACAGAGAACAGGAAAATATACAGTTAAACCAAAGAAAAGAAGAGGAAATTAGAAATCTAAAAAATATTGTCAGGAATCTTCAGGATACTATTAAAAAACGCAACATTCGGGTTCTAGGAGTTCCTGAAGGCATGGAGAGGGAGAAAGGATTAGAAGGCCTTTTTAGTGAGATATTAGCAGAAAATTTCCCAGGTTTGGAGAAGGACAGAGAAATCCTAGTACAGGAAGCTCATAGAACACCCAATAAAGATGACGAAAAGAGATCCTCACCACGACACGTTGTAATTAAACTCACCACAGTGAAACATAAAGAAAAGATCCTAAAATGTGCAAGAGAGAAACGTCAGATTACTCTTAGAGGATCTCCAATCAGACTCATAGCTGACTTCTCATCAGAAACCCTACAAGCTAGGAGGGAATGGCGAGATATAGCCCAGGTACTAAGAGAGAAAAACTGCCAGCCTAGAATATTATATGCTGCAAAGCTCCCATTTGTGAATGAAGGTGAAATAGAGACCTTTCACAGCAAACAGAAATTGAAAGAATTTTTTGCCACTCGTCCAGCCCTGCAAAAGATGCTTAAAGATGTGTTACACACAGAAACACAGAAACATGGTCATCAATATGAAAGAAGGTAAAGGAAGGAAACCTCACAGCAAAAGATCACAGGAAGTTCAAAGCATATATTGGAACTTATCTTTGGCAAATGGCAGGGCAAAGTTACCATCTATCAATAGTCACATTGAACGTTAATGGCCTGAACTGTCCAGTTAAAAGACACAGATTGGCTGATTGGGTTAAGGAACAAAACCCATCTATTTGCTGCTTACAAGAAACACATCTTTCCAACAAAGATCCATACAGACTGAAAGTGAAAGGCTGGAAAAAGATATACCATGCCAACAGAAATGAAAAAAGAGCGGGTGTAGCCATCTTAATATCAGACAACATGAACTTTACCACAAAAACTGTTAGGAGAGACAAAGAGGGGCACTATATAATGATTAAGGGATCAATTCAACAGGAAGATATAACGATTATCAATGTATATGCACCTAATTACAGGGCACCGGTTTATTTAAAAGATTTGTTAAGGGACTTAAAGGGAGACTTAGACCCCAATACAATAGTAGTGGGGGACTTCAATACTCCACTCTCAGAAATACAGATCAACAGGACAGATGATCAAGGAGACAGTAGATTTAAATGACACTATAGCCCAAATGGATCTAACAGATATCTACAGAACTTTTCATCCTACACAGAAAGCATTTACATTCTTATCAGCAGTACATGGAACCTTCTCTAGGATTGACCACATTCTAGGCCATAGAGCAAGTCTCAGCAAATTCAAAAGAATTAGAATCATACCATGCAGCTTCTCAGACCATAAAGGAATGAAGTTGGAAATTAGCAACTCAGGAATCCCTAGAGCATATGCAAACACATGGAGATTGAACAACATGCTCCTGAATGAACAATGGGTCACAGAAAATCAAAAGAGAAATCAAAAATTTTCTGGAAGTAAATGAGGATAACAGCACAACATACCAAAACTTATGGGACGCAGCAAAAGCAGTGTTAAGAGGAAAGTTTATATCACTAGGTGCCTACATCAAGAAATTGGAAAGGCACCAAATAGATGAGCTTCCACTGCATCTCAAGGATCTAGAAAATCTGCAGGAAACCAGACCCAAATCTAGTAGGAGGAGAGAAATAATTAAAATCAGAGAAGAAATCAACAGGATTGAATCCAAAAAAAAGCTACAAAAAATCAGCCAAACGAGGAGCTGGTTTTTTGAAAAAATAAACAAAATTGACACCCCATTGGCCCAACTAACTAAAAAAAGAAGAGAAAAGACCCAAATCAATAAAATCAGAGATGAAAAAGGAAACGTAACAACAGACACCACAGAAATAAAAAGAATCATCAGTAATTACTACAAGGACTTGTATGCCAGCAACAGGGAAACCTATCAGAAATGGATAGATTTCTGGACACATGCAACCTACCTAAATTGAACCAGGAAGACATAGAAGACCTAAACAGACCCATAACTGAGACAGAAATTGAAACAGTAATAAAGGCCCTCCCAACAAAGAAAAGCCCAGGACCAGATGGATTCACTGCTGAATTCTGCCAGACATTTAAAGAAGAACTGACTCCAATTCTTCTTAAACTATTCAGAACAATCAAAAAAGAGGGAATCCTCCCAAATTCTTTCTATGAAGCCAGCATCACCTTAATTCCTAAGCCGGAAAAAGATGCAGCATTGAAAGAGAATTACAGACCAATATCCCTGATGAACATAGATGCAAAAATCCTCAATAAAATTCTCGCCAATAGAATGCAACTACACATCAGAAAGATCATCCACCCAGACCAAGTGGGATTTATCCCTGGTATGCAGGGATGGTTTAATGTGTGCAAGACAATCAATGTGATACACCACATTAACATACTGAAGAAGAAAAACCATATGATTATCTCCATAGATGCCGAGAAAGCATTTGATAAAATACAACACCCTTTCATGATGAAAACTCTAAGCAAACTGGATATGGAAGGAACATTCCTCAATACAATCAGATTGCTTTAGCTATTTGAGGTCTTCTGTGTCTCCACATGAATTTCAGCATCATCATTTTTTCCAGATCTGAGAATAATGTCTTTGGTATTTTGATTGGTATTGCATTGAATCTATAAATTGCTTTTGGGAGAATGGACATTTTGATTATATTGATTGTTCCAATCCATGAGCATGGAAGGTTTTTCCATTTCTTGGTATCCTCTTCTATTTCTTTCTTTAAGATTTCGTAATTCTCATCGTAGAGATCTTTGACTTCCTTCGTTAAGTTTATTGCAAGGTATTTGATTGTTTTTGTAGCTATTGTGTATGGGTTTTATTTTAGCTGTTCTTTCTCAGGCATGGATTTGCCTGTGTATACAAAGGCTGTTGATTTTTGTGCATTGATTTTATATCCTGCTACTTTGCCAAACTCTTCTATGAGTTCCAATAGTCTCTTAGTAGAATTCTTTGGATCCCCTAAATAAGGAATCATATCATCTGCAAAGAGGGATAGTTTGACTTCTTCCTTTCCACTTCGTATCCATTTAATTTCTTTTTCTTGCCTAATGGCTCTGGCTAAAACTTCCAGAACTTTATTGAAGAGCAGTGGTGAGAGTGGGCATCCATGTCTGGTACTGGATTTCAGTGGGAATGCTTCCAAACTTTCCCCATTTAATGTGATGTTGGCCATGGGTTTGTCATAAATTGCCTTGATTGTGTTGAGGAATGTTCCTTCTATACCCAATTTGCTTAGAGTTTTCATCATGAAAGGGTGTTGTATTTTATCAAATGCTTTCTCGGCATCTATTGAGATAATCATATGGTTTTTCTTTTGCAGTTTGTTAATGTGGTGTATCACATTGTTTGATTAGCAAATGTTGAACCATCCTTGCATACCATGGATAAATCCCACTTGGTCTGGGTGGATGATCTTTCTGATGTGTTGTTGCATTCTATTGGTGAGAATTTTATTGAGGATTTTTGCATCTATGTTCATCAGGGATATTGGTCTGTTAATTCCCTTTCTCTGTTGCATTTTTTTTTCAGATTTACGAATTAAGGTGATGCTAGCTTCATAGAAAGATTTTGGGAGGATTACCTCTCTTTCGATTGTTCTGAATAGTTTGAGAAGAATTGGAGTTAGTTCTTCTTCAATTGTCTGGAAGAATTCAGCAGTGAATCCATCTGGTCCTGGGCTTTTCTTTGTTGGGTGGGCCTTTACTACTGTTTTAATTTCTCACTTGTTTATGTGTCTGTTTAGGTTTTCTATGTCTTCTTTTTGATTTCTTCTATGACTCACGTTTCATTCGTGAGCATGTTTTTCAGTCTCCATGTGTTTGCATATGGTCTAGAGTTTCTTGAGTTTTTGATTTCAAGCTTATTCCATTGTGGTCAGAGAAGATGTATAGTATGATTTTGATTTTTTTGAGTTTCCGAGACTTGCTTTTTAGCATAGTCTATGATCTTTCCTTGAAAAAGTTCCATGGCGGTGAGAAGAATGTGTATTCTGCAACTGTACAATAAAAAGTTCTGTAGATAGCTGTTAGGTCCATTTGGTCAATAGTGTCAATTAACTCTGCTGTTTCCTTGCTGATTTCCTTTCCCGTTGATCTGTCCATTGACTGCTTAATGTCCCAGTCACACCCTGTGCTCTCTCATGCAGCCACAGTGTTTTCAAAGTCTCAGCACACAAAGTTCCCACAATCATGAGCACCAAGTACTCTGTCAATTCTTTCTGTCAATTCTCAGGCATCTCCTCTTGACTGATTTTTGGGCACATAGACACAAGCTGGCCCAGCTGATACGTCAGTCTGAATTGCCACCTCCGTTTCTCAGATAGTTACAGGGTGCCAGTTCCAGGTGGTTAAGGTGAGGGAAATGTGCCCCTTTTTCTGCCCTCTGGATTGGAAGGTACACTGACTCCCACAGGGCTCCAAGCTGGACTCACTTCAGGCTCTTCCCACAGCTAGAGGCTTGGGCTTCCACAGTTTGGATTCACCTTACTCCAAAGCTGGTGCTGAGGCTCTCGGCTGCTGAAGTTTTGAGTTTTGTGTGTCCACACCCTCCATTTAGATCCACAGTGTCCCTCTAATTTGTGTGGAGTTTCCTTTGCAGTTGTGTCCGTAATTCTTTCCTGAGATTGCACTCCCTCCACTTCTTCTTAACTGTCTTCCACTAGACTAGAGTGGTAAGCTCCCTCCCAATTCTTCCATCTTAGAATCCAGCAATCCATATTGTTTGTTTTTAAGGACACACACATGCACGCAAACCAAGTATTGTATACTCTGGGTGTGTGTACATTTGTATATAGAAATTTAGGAAAATATAGTATGTACAAACTCTTAAATGGTACCCTGAAGTGTTGTGGAAGAGGCAAATATTATGGGCACCAAGAACTTTACAGGAAGAGCTATATTTTTAAAAGTATTTGTATATATTTGTAGAACTATAATTACTTTAAAGTAAAACAGCACTATTTACTTCATATCCATCTGAGAAAAATGAACAAAATATAATGTGCAGGATACAATATGAATGCTACTCTAACAGTCTGACCAAGTAGTGTCTCTTTTAGGATCTAATATTTTTTAAGATTTATTTATTTATTTGGAAGAGTTGCGCAGAGAGAAGGAGAGGCAGAGAGAAAGAGAGAGAGATTTTCCATCTGCTGGTTCACTCCCCAGTTGGTCACAACAGCTGGAGCTGTGCTAATCCGAAGACAGGAGCCAGGAGGTTCCTCCGGGTCTCCCACGTGGGTTCAGGGGCCCAAGGAGTTGAGCCATCTTCTGCTTTCCCAGGCCACAGCAGAGAGCTGGATCAGAAGTGGAGCAGCTGGGACTGGAACCGGTGCCCACATGGGATGCCGGCACTACAGGCAGCAGCTTTACCCGCTACATCACAGCTCCCTTCCCTAGGAACTAATTTTTAAAAGACATGCTTTATGCCCCCATTCATGTAAAACAACCCTAGAACCATTCACTTTGTATCAGTGTAAAAACTTCTGGAAGAAACACATCAAAATTAGAGGATTCATTAGAGAAAGAAATGGGATTTAGCTAGGAACAAAATGTGGTTTCCTTTTATCTGTGTTAAAGATTTGCTAGTAGAATATTTTGAAGTGTTACTTTTGCGATTAAAAACCTGGAATAAGTTCATCAAAACTGGGAATGAAAAACCATGCAGAAGTGTGTTATTGTCTTTGATATTACTGAACTTCATCAGCAAAAATTAAAACAAACAATGAAACAATGTAAATACTTAAGAATAAGAGATATGTCAAATAACTCTTTAAAGTGACACTCTGTACCTATTAAAATTACTCATTATGATGAGTAGATGATTAAATTGCAGGTTGCAATGGAAAAAAGAAAGAAGAGCAGTGAAAACATGTGTGTGGATTCCTACTCCATTACTTCAAGAAAACAGATAAGCGCAAACATCTCTGAGAAAAGCCTGGAAGATGTGTTGCCGTAATTTTAAGACGTATTACCTCCCAGAATTACAAATCCATTGTGTTTTCTTAATTATGATTTACTCTGAGTTCAAATTTTTGGTGTTTGCTTTATTTCTATAAGAACATTAAAGAGTAGGGAAAACAAAGTGTTTTAGATTCCACAAAGAATTCAATGCAATATAGCCTGTGTTGCTGCTGAAAGACAGTCTGTTCACTTTTTGTTTGTTGAAATTTTTATTTAGTGGAGCATTAAGCCTTTGTAATACAAATTGAGAATGTTTTATCTCAAAAAATTTCAAAAAAATAATGAAGGAAATAAAATATGATTCATACAAATGATAACACATATCTTGTTTGGAAGAATCATCAGCAATATAATAACTTGCATTAATTTGATGTATATTTTCAATATAATTATAATGAAAATAGCTACTTTGTTTTAAATACTTGTCAAGTAAATTGATAGGAACTATATACTAGTGTAGTTTTATGACTTTTACTTTTCAAAAATTTATTTATTTATTTTGAAAATTAGAATTACAGACAGAGATCGATCTCCCATTCACTAGTTCAGTCCCCAGATAGTCTCAATGGCCAGCTTTGGACCAGATCAAAGCCAGAAACCAAGAGCCAGGTGCTTCATCCAAGTCTCCTGTGTGGGCAGCAGGGTCTCAAATACTTGGTCCATCTTCCACTGCTTTTCCCAAGCCAGTAGCAGAAAGCTCGATCATATGGGATGCTGGCATTGCAGGTGGCAGTTTTACCAGCTGTGCCACAGTGCCAGCCCCAATTTTCTATTTTAATATTTACTGTATATGAGTGAAGATGGTCATCTTCTCTTTTGACTATTGTTATATAGACTGAGCTTTTTTTCCTGCTGGACTATGATATTTTTACTCTTTATTTCTTGAACTCTTTATTTAATAAAGCTAATATGTCTGCAACTGTACTGTAAATTAAAAATGTTATCTCAAAAATAATAAATAAAACATATTTAGAAAGTATAGTGATGAACCAAATTTAAAGTAACTAAGAAAAATAATGGAAAGAATAAATAAAAGGAACAAAATCAAATGAAATAAGAAACAAAAAGCAGGATGAAATAGCAGATCACTTGGGGCCAGATTTGGCTCTCTGGTTTGAATTGAGTGACTGTAGCTTACACTGCTTAAATGGTTAGAACTGCGGTTTTACATCTGTAAAATAT